TTCATACAATCTATTTTTCAAGAAAGAAAGAAGGCCACAAGAAAAAATGTGGTCATTTCATTTAGTTCTCAATTGAATATATGGGTAATAGGTTGATCGAGTTTTGCCACATTTGTATGGCGATGCATAATCTATTTTGTAGCAGTGAGAAAGTTCCTTCACAACTATTTAATGAAATTTGGACTGTTTTGGTAGTACTTTTGTGTCATATATATAGGGTGTTAAGATTATTATTAAATTGATATGTGCCAACTATAAAAGATAGGTTTTGCTTCTCAACTTTTAAGTTGAGAGATGTTTTCTTTAAAGCTAAATGATCATTTGTTAGAGAACGAGACAGGTTTTATCCTTGAGGAGTCAATAGCTTGTTCATTTTGAAAGATTGAAGATTGATCATGCAATTTTCCCATTTTTAATACGAGAAGACGAGGGCAAATTTCAAAATATATTTCAATTAGGCAAATTAAAATCGAATACTCTTTTCTTAATGCTTTACAAAATTTAGACATTATTGACTTGACAATAGTGACGGGAGACCTTCACCTCAATAAATGGAGTTGGTTGTGCAAGGTAAATGATTCGTTTTTCAATAAAGTTCAAAATATTGCAAGCTGGTTAAAATCGAGGTTTAATTTATTTCTACGTAAAAAGTTCATAATAAAAAGAAATATACGAAGTCTAATTAAAAATGGAGGAAAAAAACAACCTTCTTGAAAATGGCATAGGTGGAAGGATGAGAATAATGTAAGATTAGAACGAAGGGCGGACCGAGACAGCTCAAACTGTAGGGTCAAAAATGAAAATTCAAAATTTTTTCGAACAACATATCATTAATGAGAATCTAGGTGAGGCACGGTCGACGGCGAAAGGCTGATGGCAAACTCAACTGGCGAAGTCACGAACAAAAATCTAGAAAGTTAGAAGAGCGGGGGGTTGGGAGAAAACGGAAAATCCGATGGTTTCAGGTTTGCACTTTGGGAAAAATTAGTAAATGGATTGGGAATGGGATTATATTTATTGGATATGGACCCTATGAATATAGGTCATTAGGATTTGGACTATTCGGGCATTGTACTAGAGAATTTAATAGAAAACGGAAAATCCGATGGTTTCAGGTTTGCACTTTGGAAAAAATTAGTAAATGGATTGGGAATGGGATTATATTTATTGGATATGGACCATATGAATATAGGTGATTAGGATTTGGACTATTCGGGCATTGTACTAGAGAATTTAATTGGGTTGGCTATTTGCAGACTAGTAATTGCATTTGGCATGGTAAGTTAGGTTCTCAAGGAGGGTGGGATTCAAAATTTTGTGAGGTCATTTGACCTCATGTGGTCCGCCCCTGATTAGAACACTATGTAGAGTAAAGTAAAAAAAAGGAAATTAAAGTAAGAGAAAGTGGATTAATAAAAAAATAAGTAACTTAAGAGCGTGAATCAATTCAATAAATAATAAAGCATTGAATATATTGTAGAAAAACTTAATTAAATGCACAATTAATACGATTCTCCATGAATTACAGTTTCAAGTATTATTAGAGAATAAAATTTCGATTAATTCTAGATGAAATTGATCTGGCAGGAGACCAGGCATGTAAGTTTGAATATGTCAAAACTATAATTAAGTTTCTCTAGCTACGATCATTGAAAAGTTTTTAACTTTCATCTTGTCCATTAAAGATAGGAGATCGGGCATGTAATTCTAGATATGTGAGAAAGACAAATCAATAAGTATTCGTTTGACTTTATTTTATATGAAAATTGTTAATTAAAGGAAAATATTTTTTTACAATTAGGAATAAAATTTATTTTCATTGCCACCAAAAAAAAATAAAAAGAATTTGTCCATTAAAAATAATGGCAAATCAAACATGGCCTAAATGTTCGTTCCATTAGTTAAAAAAACAAAAAGAAATAATAGAAAATTCATTGGTTAACATGAATTCTACTTTTATTTGAAGTAATCACTGGAACAAATTCTCTATCGAAAGATTTTCGAGGTTACCTTTAAATAAAATAAATAAAGTTTGGTAAATACACCAAATCATCGCGGCAACTGTAGAGTCATATCGTTCTCCCTTCGTACAATTCCGTGAACTCTCCTAACTTCTCTCCGCGTTTCGCTCTTGATCTTTATCCTTTTATCCCTAATTTTTCATGTAAGATATTCACTCCATTTCTTTTGTCAATAAAAAACCAATATAAATATGGTTTTATTATTTCTATGCATTCATTCCGCTGTGATAGCCCATACTTAAAGACGAAGATTTTGTCAAATTTTGATCCTTTTTTTTTTTTTTTTTTTCACTATTTTAACATGTCAATGGCGTCGACACTGGCATTAGCATCAGTACAACGACAAACGTCGCCGTCTGATTTAATTATTTGTGGGATTTTGTATAAGTGGGTTAACTATGGCAAAGGGTGGAGAGCACGGTGGTTTGTGTTGCAGGATGGTGTCCTCAGTTTCTTCAAAATTCATGGGCCTGATAAAATTGTGGTCAATCAAGAGACTGAGAAGGGATCAAGAGTAATTGGAGAAGAATCCATGAAGCTGATGTTTTGTAACCACAAGAATGGCAGTCATTCCTCTTCCAAAACCCGGAAGGCTGTTGGTGAAATCCATTTGAAGGTTTCGTTTTTCAATTGAATTTTGAGTTTTTTTTTTGTATATTGCTAATTATGTGTAGAAGGGACTAATTTGATAATTTGAACTGGACTTTGTGTGGGTTATTTATCTGGGTTTTTTTTCCATTAACTATCCAAGATGAAGATTTGAGAAAAGGATTTAGACGTTTATTTTGATCTTTCTGGCTTAAATTTATTTTTATTTTTATTTTATTATTATTATTTTTTTGTTTTTTTTGTTTTTTGTTTTTTTTTTGGGTAGTAGTAAAGCCCTCTTCAGCCGACAGCCGGACAATCTGAAAACGAAAAGGGAGAAGTTCATAATTCAGGGGTATTCTTTATACCAATTCAAGAATGAGGTAGATTGTTAAAAAATTCAAAAATCAGGTATATATTTAATTAATTAAAAACATTTAATTAAAAATAATGATGTCACAGAGATATCATTATAGGTCACATTTTATTTATTGATCACAAATCGTCAAATTAATTAGTCAAATATTATTTTGAGGTCCCAAATCAAAAGTCGAGAAAGCAAATCCGATGATAAGGGGTTTTCCATTTATACGGGAACAAAGAGGTTGCATCTGAGGGCAGAGTGCAGAGAGGACAGAATGGCATGGATAGAAGCACTGCAGGCTGTGAAGGACAAGTTCCCAAGAATTTCTAACAGTGAGTTAATGTCTCCGGTGGACAATTTGGCTGTCTCGACTGAGAAGATGAGGCAACGATTGTTAGAAGAAGGGTTGAATGAGGTTGCTATTCAAGAAAGTGAGCAGATCATGAAGGATGAGTTTATGTCTATGCGGAATCAATTGTTGCTGTTGAAGCAGAAGCAATGTCTCCTCATGGACACGGTGCGACAGTTAGAGGTGCATGTTGTGATTCGTAGAATAACTCTTGGATCTCAAAATTCTTCTTCGGTTTCTTCTCTAAATAATTCTGCGCGCCAAAGTTCTATCAGCCTTCCCTAGATTTGTAGCTTTGTATCTGGTGGTCTGTGAGCAGTTCTTTCCCTTGTTCTTTGTATTGAGATTGTAAACCTTTTAGTATTGCCCCATTCTTTTGTATAGATAGCTTAGTTTGGGAGTGGTTCTTGAAGATTTTTGTACTCTATTCTCCTTTCTTGTTCTATTGGTCTAGACTGTAGCGTTAGTTAGAAATACAACTGTGAGCCTTATTTAAGAAATTATAGCATCTGTACTTGGATTGAAGGAGTCCATCGAAATAGAATTAAACTATTTTGCTAAAATGGTTGACATCCTTTCACTTGCGCGTTGGTCCTGTGTGAATAAAAAAGTCCAGAAAAGAAATTGTACCAATAAAGTTATTACATATGAAAGTACATCTCCAATGCATCATGTCTAGAACTATGTTTAGCTGACATAACAAATAAAAGTAGACGTTATCAAGAAAATCGTCCGAATTTAGAGGTTCTTGTAAACGAGGTCAGTCGTCATAATTTAATATTTTCCCATTCTTTCTCTTATTTCTTATTTTTTGTATCTCTTGCTGCTGTTTATTCTTTTTCTCCTATTATATTTACATACGAGATGAAATTAAAATATAGATAGAATCTATTGAAGATTAAATTTGAACATGATGATTTATTTATTAAGTGTTAATGTCATGTAAGGTCAAAGATGTCTCCAAAACTGTATTTCAACTGGATGCATTGGTGGGTGCTCGATTGGTTGGAGTCTTGGGATTTGATTTGATTTTTTAATTATTTGTAATTTTTAATTTATTTCTGTTCTTCGTGACCTATCTCCACTTTTTGTTTTTAAAAACATTTGAGACTTCGGCTGCAATTTTCATTTTATTATTTTTATTTTATTGCTTTCTTTTATATTTTTTATTTAGCGCTAGCGTCTCTCTGGGAGCAATTTTTGGAAGATTTTAAGATTTTAAGATTTTATTTTATTATTATTATTATTTTTTACAGTTGGCATCTAACAAACACATTTTGCTGCAACTTTTAACTTCTTTATTTTATAAAAAAAAAAAAAAAAAAAACTAACGAAATAATCTATATTATCCTTGTTAAATGTTAGAATTACTTATACACATTTCCTTAGCCGTCATATTTGATTATTTTCGAAGGGCAAAATATTGTATCTAAGACTAAAAAAAATAGATTAAATTTTTTAAAAATACTTCAAAAAGATGCTTAAAGATGAGGTTAAATATATCATTTTACGTGACCTTAACCATCAAAATAGACGGAAATGACTAGCTCTATCTAGTTTTCAAATGGTTGAAGATCAATGATGACAATAGAATTAATTGGGGGCACATCTCATTCATTCTCTGAAAGTGTGGGATGAAATATGCAAATTTCCCATTTATTTTGACATGCTACTGAACAGTTTCGAATCTGCGTGTTTTGGGTGTATACGCTAAACCCCCCAATTTCTTGGCTTCCTCTGAGCATCTTTACTTTCCGCTTAAACGTCAGTCTCGGCCTTCTTCGGGTGATAAAATACCATCACTTTGCAATTTGTGTATTTTATTTATTTTCTTTTTTTCGTTTCTTTCTATAACTCCCTGTCTCATATTTTCTTTTTACAGGTTTTGAGATTTCCTATTCAAATCTAATAAACTATGCAGCTGACTCTTGAGTTCGGGTAATTTTTTCCCGTCTTCCGTAGTTTTTGGTTTAAATAACTTTCTGCATAGTATATACCATATAGTAGTATCTAAGTAATGAAAAATTATTGATTAATTACTGTTTCCAAAGAATTCGTGGTTGGAAAAAAGAAGGTGAAAAATCTATGTTGGTAAATATATTTTACGAAACTCAAAAAAGGAGTACTGGAATCAGACTAAATTTTGCTCATTTGGAAGTTTTTTCTCATATACTTGAATTTCATTTTATTTTATTTTATTTTTATCAATTTCCAAGTTATTATGCAGATCAACTATATTGTGGTAAAGATATCTGGGTTTGAGCCTTAGATAGGGAAATTATGGATGGGAAAAAACCAGAAGCAATTAGCGTTTAATTGACAAGGATTCTTAACATTTTTGTAGCCCAAGTGGAATCATGTGGAAATCCGATTTCTTAATCCTTGGTTTCTTTTGCAATTAGTTCATGAAATCTCACGCATGGAAGATAAGTAAACAAGCCAAAAACATTATGTTTGAACTTCAAGATATTTTTAATTTTGGGTGAAGGAGTGATTGTATAATAATTTAAATTGTAAATTATTATTGGAAGAACTATATTACCACCTTTCATAGGCAGAACTTTCATTATTTAGGAAGTATCGTTTGGTTTGGTTGATTACTTCCTATCCTTAGTGGACCTCTAGATGCCGCGGAGTGGCAAAAGCCATGAAATCATTGTTCATGACAGCATTATTAGATTTATAACCTGAGAACATTCCAGTGGGTATGGGTGGATGGTAACAACGCATCTAATGGAATAAAATCAACCAATTAAATTGAAACGTTTAATTTATTGGAAATCATCTATTAATCTGAAATCTTCCTCTGAAATTCAAGTGGTTTCTGGTGAAGGTTTATCTCATTAGTGACTAGAAAATATGATATGTTTTACCACTTGAAGATTGAACTCCCTTTGCATCATTCAACTTTTAAAAAATGTCCCTAAGCTTCTTAAGTAACTGATTGTTGATGAATTTACCCATCAAAATTATATACTGGTCATGTGGTTATTCCACCATATAAAAAATGGGACTAATACGTAGGCAATCTGGTCATAAATTTCAAGGACTGACTTTCCATGGTCTTAGCCCTAGATAAGCACCCATGGAAACCTGATCAACCTTAGAAAATTGTGTTTGAAACACCAGCGTTGATCTAAGGATTCTTTGTTCTTATCGTTGCTTGTTTCAACAGCAGCCTGTACTTCACTGGGTATCCTCTGTGTTCATCAAATGACTTTGAACCAGTTATACTCTGGTTTGAGGAGTCATAGACTGAACCTTGTTGGTATATGTTAAAGTTTAGTCTTTGTAAAGATTAGCAAGAGGTTGAATAGGAGGTTAGAATTAGATTGATCCTTCCAGATAAAACAAGGATAGTTGTACGTTGGATTGACTCGTCTAAGAAAACATTAATGTTGTTGCTATCGTAACTGTACTGACCTAGAAGCATAGAGGGTTGCTGAATGCTGATAATTGCCAATATTGTGGAATTCTGGATATCTAACGACCAGCCCTTTGATAATGGTTGTAGTTTGTTGAACTGAAAGACTGTTAATTAAGTTTGATGTCTCCATCTTCCTCTCTTTCTGAGCACTGGTATGATATTATGCTTCTCGGTCATATTCTTTCCATCATATGAATTACAATTTTCTTAACATTAATTGTGAGATTAATTTTATTTCTGTGATACATTCATTGGTGAAAGACCTCTGAAATGTTCTTTGAGCGTTAACCATTTGCTGTAGTTCTCATTTCTTAACACTTTTAAACATTTGTTAAGCAACTGAACAATTGGCTTCTAGATAACAGATTTGTATTAACTTAATCAAAAGCCTTTTTATTTTCAATTGTGCACCTTCTTGTTGCTCAATCATTACATATGAAAAGTTCAAAGTGCAGATTATGTTGCCATAATCAATGTGTTAACCATTCACCCACCTCTATATGACCACTCTAGGAGACTAGGACCCTTCACGTGTGTGTTCAGATAAGAATTCAACTCTTATCTATTTAATTGTTCTGCTTGATGGTTAAGTATTTTCTGACCCTACCTTGCGACTTTTCATTGAGTTCTTTAATTTGATTGATTGATTTCCCACCTACTTGGATTTTTGTTTGGTGCTTCCAAATTTTCTGATATTTACTTTTTAATATCACAATTTAGTGGTGGACTGGAGCTGCTCTGTAATTCTGTAAAGATCCATGAGATCAATGTTGACCCACAGGCTGAGGAAGAAAAGGTTGATCTCTTCTAAGTTATTTTGTTTCAAGTGAAGACTTGATACTTCTAGTTCTCACTTACATGTTTAACTGATCCAGTTTAAGTATTTTGTTTTTATTTCACCAGTTAACGATGAAACACTTGCTCCCTTGGATTCGCACCAATTTAATCAAGGAGAGGCCTGAAATGTTTATGAAAGGTGATTCCGTGTAAGTGGATTAATTTGTATTGTTTATTTAAAGATGCCCGAAATATGAACACGGAAGTTTAACTATCCAAAGATTAATTTTTGAGCTAAAGGCACTTCTATTCAGTTCATTTCGCCTCTAGTTACCAATGCAATTCAAAGCCTACTCCTGCATCTTACATTTGTCACCTATAGCCTTCCTTATCTTTCTGCTTTCTACAGCATACATCTTGGTTGGTCCCACCATGTCTCTTACAAAGTTAATATCAAGTTGTTAGCTTCATCAGATCCAGCTTATAGCACGCAAAAATTCAATTTTTTTTTTTCCCAAATTGATTTGATCCTTTGATTAGAGAAATCAGAATAATGTATGCAGTTTGATAATGTAATGTACCATATCCTAATAAATTTAAAATTCAATGAACACTAACTCCATTACCAGTTTCTTCAAATCTTGTAATTTTATATTTTTTTCACTCACTTGAAAGAATTTTAAGACTTGTATTTGATCATGAAAGATGTGGTTTCATAAACATAGCTGTTTGCATTACAATGCCCAGCTCCCTTCTCCTCTGATTTAGTCCCCCGTCCATTGTGTATATGTCTTCCAAATGTTATTTTTTCATTTTTTTAAACCATGAAAGGATGGCAATTTATGAAACAGGAAGCCTGACCTCCAGCAAATGAAAAAAAAAATAGACAAAATACCTTCGTTAGATAAAGGTATGTTATCCTTCCCAGACCAATTTAAAAGGAGCAAACATGCAGAACGAACTCCGACTACAGTCGGAGAAAACCCGAGATTAATGGGTTTTGGATTGTTCAAACAATTTACCGTACATATCATCACAATGGGATCACACACCCATTCTAGTGGGGGGAAACTGGTGTTTTTATGGGTTTGCTCCAGTGTGCGCATCAAAAGTAAAGAGTAATATATCAAAATAAATCGGTAGCTTATGCAAATTGATTTTATTAGTATCAACATTTTTATTACAAGTGCTTGCTCGTCTCAAAAAATGAATAGAAGTGATGACATTTCCTTAAATCTTTTGTTTTGCATGCAGAAGGCCAGGAGTTCTAGTCCTTGTAAATGATTGTGACTGGGAACTAAGCGGACAGCTTGACACAGTGCTGGAAGAGAAGGATGTCGTCGTTTTCATTTCGACATTGCACGGTGGATAGTTTCTATATATTCTCTATAATTTCAGTGATGATAAAATGTTCGAGAAGAGGGATGGTGTTGCTTATTATCAAGAACCAAACTTGCTAGGATATTGTTGATGCTTGCTTTTATTATTCTTTTGAGATTTGAGGAATAACTGTTTGTAGTTTGTGATTTTAATATTCTTATCATAATTTTAGATTTTTCTCTTTTTCACTTTTTCTTCTAGCACTATGATTTTTTTATTTTTATTTTTTTATCGGTGAATGTAAACTCTATTGATCAAAAAAGCATTTACAAGTACATCGGACATAGCTGGACAAACAAGGATCAAGTACGTATACAAGTACACTGGGCATACTCGAGCAAAACAAACACACAAAATACATACAACCAATAAAGATTTATAAAGCCACTGCTAGAGACTTAAAACGAACCAAAAAATTATTATACACAGAGAATATAATTTTTTACACGTGTTTTAATTCGTCTCACAACGCTATGAGCGTATGGTCTAAGATCCTAAAAAATCATTCTATTCTGCGCCATCCAAATTTGGTAAACCGTGCAAGCAAGTGCAACTCTCTTGGCCTTAGCTTGCTAAGATGTGCATCGGGCTTCTTTCTTCATCCACTTTAATGCACTAAGTATTGTCGTCGTTAACCTTTCATTCCCAACCAATCTTAATATGCCCCCAAATGTTTGAAGTGAAGACACATTCGACAAATAAGTATTTCCCATCCTGATTATTTACATCCTCTGGAGGTTGTTTATAAGATGACCATAAATAGACTTACTGATTTTCTCAGTTTTCTACAATTGTAGTTTTTCTTTGTGAATCAATGAGTCTTTGTTACCTTGTTGCCTAGTTTTTTCGGCATCATTAGACATTTGCTTGTTCGTGATTGTTTGTGTTCATCATTTCATACATGCTACCTTGCAGGACTTTGCTTGCGGATTACTCATGCACTTTTAGTACGTTGAATTGAACAAGGTTGGACATGTCAGTTGAAAGACATTTCTCCTCTTCTTTAATTCAATGCAGTCCGGTTTAAATTACCAAATAATGGCATTGGGTGGTGAATCTGATTTCTATGTTGTCTTTTTCGTTTTAGTTTGATGGTAATGTTTTTCCAGTCCGTCATTGCCTAATCTTGTGGTGTTTCCTAGACGTCCTTTGAATGATGATCACAATCTCATACCTTATGATTTACGAAGCAAAAAAAAAAAAAAAAAAAAATGGAAAGTTGCCTAGTTTTTTCGGCATCATTAGACATTTGCTTGTTCGTGATTGTTTGTGTTCATCATTTCATACATGCTACCTTGCAGGACTTTGCTTGCGGATTACTCATGCACTTTTAGTACGTTGAATTGAACAAGGTTGGACATGTCAGTTGAAAGACATTTCTCCTCTTCTTTAATTCAATGCAGTCCGGTTTAAATTACCAAATAATGGCATTGGGTGGTGAATCTGATTTCTATGTTGTCTTTTTCGTTTTAGTTTGATGGTAATGTTTTTCCAGTCCGTCATTGCCTAATCTTGTGGTGTTTCCTAGACGTCCTTGGAATGATGATCACCTTGGAATGATGATTGATATAAGATTTCTAAAAGGATGATTAAGAGTCAAATCATCTCTTATTGTCGAACAATGTGTCAGATGTCACATGCCTACAATGGCTAGAATATGAATAAGACATCATTGAGCTTGATCAGCGAGTCATTAGAATAAGATTGTGTGTCAAGAATCAAGAGACTTTAAGTTACTTTATCTTGTTTATAAACATTCATACTTGCTCCTATTTGATGATCTTCACAAATTGGTATTTCTCGTCCCTAGAAATTCAAACATCCAAACTCTATTTTCACATTTCTTCTCTGCTCATGTTTCTTCCATGGTAAATATTTTCTTGACTTGAGCATCAAAAAGCTTACAATCACAGCCTCGTATGCCTTTTTTTTTTGGAGAAGTTTCGATTTGCGCTTTTAATCCCTCTTTGGTCTGGATAAAAATATAGAATTAAACATGCATTTGTTTTTGTGGTTCCCACAAATGGATTAGAAACCGACCGTATATAAATTTATTTTGCACGATGTTTGGGAGAAATAGATTTTGTTTAAAGATTAGACAACAGAAAAAATAGAAATGTTGAGAGTGGGATTTGAACCCTCGCCCTTTCGGACCAGAACCTTAATCTGGCGCCTTAGACCAACTCGGCCATCGCAACATTTGATCAGGAATGTTATTAATATTTATTTTAACGTATTAGGGAAGAGTCTGGCCTGGAACTTGGATGGATTTTTTCAGTAAACACATAAAGGAGATGAATAGTGGTGGAGTTTAGGGTGACAATTTTTTTTACTAATGGAGTGATTCATATAATTTTTTTACCTATAAAATTTAAATGGACTTGGGGGCAACATTTAGGTTAAAGTCGTGGACTACCTGAAAATCGAATTCAAATGCAAAGGAAGATATTATATACACACTTCAATTAGTATTTTTCTTTATTTCCTTTCCTTTTGACATGAATTTTTTTATACTTAATAGACTTAAGAATGTATATATGGGATTGACAACTAACAACACTTCATTCAGACTTATATGCGTATGATAAGATCTATCATTGAGAAGAAGAACAACAAATGACGAAAGGTAAATAATGCATACGTGCCTTTCATAGGAGAACATCAACTTAAGGTAATCCCATAAGCAAGAGGAGGAGGAACATGTCCAATCTTTCTTATCAAGTCCCATGAGAAGTTAGGCCAACTCAATAATGCCCAACTTAACTTAATTACACAATCATCTTCTTGAATAGTAGTTTTATTTTTCAAATATTCCCACTCAATGTCATCATAACCTTTCCATCGCTTCAAATTTAAATTGAGTAGCGAAAAGATTAATAATTTACATAAACAAGCACCAACCTATCATGAATAATTATCAACTCTTTAAGGATATATGGATAGTCAAATATTATAAAGTCAAGAAAATTTAGAGTACGAATTTTCACATACATGTCAATCATTTATGAACTTCTTTACATGTAATGAGATTTGCTATGGGTAATATGAATTTAATATACACTTGAGAGGCATATTGAATATAATTTAAATAAATAAAACTATCCTACATAGCATGCTTTAAACATTTAGAAGAAATAATTTAGCACAATATCAATATTTCATCTTCTAGTTCTATTATTCAAATAGTTCTTTGTCCTCCAAATCATGTCATATCATTCATCTTTCTTTTGTATTACATTTATCCATGTTTTGACTTAGATTAGCTATTTAATTCTTTTGGCATAGTGTGGTACCAAATTTTACTGTGATCTTAGTTTCAGGCAATTGTTTGTCTCAACCCAGTGTATTTATTTTATTGACATTGCTTCGGTAAAAAGAAGGTGCTCCAATTGAACAAGACTTGTTACAGTCATTTATGAAATCATTGAATTCTTAAAAAAATAAAAATAAATAATAAAAAGAAAAAAATAAAAATAAATAATAAAAAGAAAAAAATAATGTAGTACTGCATCGATAAAAATCATGGTATTTTCCATATAGCAGACAAAAATTAGAGTAATATTATTTGTAGTTGCTCATTATTATAGTTGTTTTATGTGGCATATACGTGGTGAATAGTGATTTGATGCCCATATAAGATGATTGCGATAGTGAGAGAATACAAATAATATTATTCCAAGAATAAAGTATCCTTTTAATAAATAAAAACATCAAAATTGCGAAAGGTCCATTATTTATTATAAGCATTAATGGGTTGTGGGAAATATTAAAACCTCATTTTTGCATTATGTCCATCAAAGAGCTGACAATATTAATTGTTATGTCCCTATCTGAACCACTTCGAAAAGTCTGTCACTGCGTCATATGAGGTGTCCAACACCCATCCGTAGTGGTTCCGAAGTGACTCCACCACTAATGTTGGCGAGCTGCTAACGCGCTGCGAGGCACAAACAATTCAAGTGTTCTGCCTCTGACGTCAAAGCGCAATGCACTCCGAGGATCTCTGTTAGAGGATCCGCCGCCAATTTCAGAAAGAGATCTGTGTCAAGATCCTTTTTGCCCCCAAAGTTTAATTGATTTGACGTCTCCATGGGCCTAGTTGATGTGACGTATCAACTTTATGTCAACTCAATTTGAAAGAAGTTATCACCCACCCACTCTATAGACGCGGCTGATTGACGCTTATGAGCAGACATCTCACACCGTCAGATGCATATACGTGTCCCACATCTAATGATTCTCCTCAACTATAAATACCCAAGGTTTGACAAGAGGCAAAGGTAATGAAACTCTTACAATTTAGCTCTTCATAACAAGTAAATATATATTCTCCTCCCCACCATTTTTGCACAACCTTGGCACTGTTCCGATCACCAGAAGCTAACTTGACCGTCGGAGTGTATGCGGTCGCCGCCATCCCGCTGGTTCCGACTGTGTGTATCTGACGTGTGTTGACTGTGCGCAGAGAGGATTACGTGGAGTAGTTATCGGTTGGCCACGTGGAGGGTCCAATTCGCGAGATCAACAGATTGACACCATCTGTGGGAATACTTCCCCATCCAAAGTTCTACATTCTCACCGGAAAAGCCACTGGAAAACCCTTGACTTACCCTGAAAAGGAGACGTTCTTGAAAAAGAACAAAGTCGAATTACAATTCAGATCCTCATCACCCTTGAAAAATGAGTAGATAAAATGAGTTCCAGCAATGAGGACGCAAATTTCAAGATGGATACCTCTGAAGAAGAGGTGCTCCGAAACAATGGCACTCACCAAAGACCTTATAACCGACATCGCCGAGGTAAAAGAATGGCCATGCTCACTAAAGGAATGACCTAAATGGCTACGGGCATGAGAGAGATCGTAGCTCAAAATGTGGCAATGCATGAATTCTTCATGCGAGCCCAAGGTCACCAGGGCGCCCAAATGCCCCAAGAATCTTACCCAACTCGTGAAGTCTTTGCGTCTCGTTCCCGAGGTCATATGAGCCAGCACAGAGAACCCCCTCGAGGGAGAAGTGGCTACGAAAGTCACATCCTATGTGCAAGGAAGCCAGCCAGTAGAACCACAATTGGGGGACAACTTCCCACCAGAATATAAAGTACAAAGGTCAGTCAGTGTCTTTAATCGGATAGGGCGGGACCCTAGTAATAAGGTCCGCTAAGTGGAAAGATCACTTCGACAAGGGAA